AGCCTCCAGGAATTGTGTACAGATCCTTGCAACATGGGGCCGTGCATTATCATGCTGCAACATGAGGTGATGAATGGCACAACAATGGGCCTCAGGATCTCGTCACGGTATCTCTGTGCACATAGGCGGCGCGTGAGGCTCAGGTTTGGGAAGGCTACTTTTTTTACCTGAGGCTGCCCGCCCCCAGCATCTATAGAAAAGAGATCAACTCAGTGAAAGCACTGCCTGCTGACCAATCAGAGCTCAGTGTGCAGAGTTTAAATCTATCAAGTCATATTACAGGATAAAGGAAATACAGTTTAAACTGCCGTATGCAGAGAAGACGCCGACGTGTCGCACTTATCATTCATATCACACTGATATCACATCATCAATCAGATCATCGATCACATAATAGGCTATCACAATATTTCCTTATCTGAGTCAGCTTCTCGAGCCGTATCTGGCCGTGCAACACTTACATTGTCACATACTGTATGCAGACGTATTATTTTAAGCAACACATTAAGTTGACGAAACACTCAACTCAAATGTAATTAAAGTCAGATCCACTCGTGTCTTAGACGGAGCAGTATCATAAACCTGTTGTACGCATTCAAACACTCGGTAGTTTATTTATTTTTTAACCAGTTGTTCTATATTCACCTTGCAGGTGCAGCTATGTGGCTTGTATCCTGGATTATATGTTTAAGTCATGGATGTTTAAAGTTCATATTTGTCTAATATTAGTTTACATTTCCTTAATGAAGTATGACGCTGCGCTGTCAATACACTTGTCAAATGTAGCTAACCCCGCCCCTTTCACGTGAACGCGCTCTCAGCTGGAGAGAGAAACCCTGGCTTGATTTACCGAGTTGATAACCAGCGTCGTAGGACCGCTTAGCAAGATCTCGTTTGTTAGGGTTAGTTAAGATAACTCAAACATATCCAGGGTCTGTGGAACTGGCTTCGTAGTACAGTTTACTGGTGGCTGCATAGCAGCGCTAATGTCAAAGACACAAACATTATACATTATATTTTTATTTTACCAGGATGCAGGGACACAAATATTTGGGAAGGCTTAGCCTTCCCTAGCCTACAGTACCCGCCGCCCCTGTCTGTGCATTCACAATGCCATCAATACAATGCACCTGTGTTCGTCGTCCATAACATACGCCTGCCCATACCATAACCTCACCACCACCATGGGCCACTCGATTCACAACATTGACATCAGAAAACCGCTCACCCACACAACGCCACACACGCTGTCTGCCATCTGCCCTGAACAGTGAAAACCGGGATTCATCCGTGAAGAGAACACCTCTCCAACGTGCCAGACGCCATCGAATGTGAGCATTTGCCCACTCAAGTCGGTTACGACGACGAACCGGAGTCAGGTCGAGACCCCGATGAGGACGACGAGCATGCAGATGAGCTTCCCTGAGACGGTTTCTGACAGTTTGTGCAGAAATTCTTTGGTTATGCAAACCGATTGTTGCAGCAGCTGTCCGAGTGGCTGGTCTCAGACGATCTTGGAGGTGAACATGCTGGATGTGGATGTCCTGGACTGGTGTGGTTACACGTGATCTGCGGTTGTGAGGCCGGTTGGATGTACTGCCAAATTCTCTGAAACGCCTTTGGAGACGGCTTACGGTAGAGAAATGAACATTCACGGGCAACAGCTCTGGTGGTCATTCCTGCTGTCAGCATGCCAATTGCACGCTCCCTCAAAACTTGCGACATCTGTGGCATTGTGCTGTGTGATAAAACTGAACATTTTAGAGTGTCCTTTTATTGTGGCCAGCCTAAGGCACACCTGTGCAATAATCATGCTGTCTAATCAGCATCTTGATATGCCACACCTGTGAGATGGGATGGATTATCTCGGCAAAGGAGAAGTGCTCACTATCACAGATTTTTTCAGATTTGTGAACAATATTTGAGAGAAATGGTTATTTTGTGTATATAGAAAATGTTTTAGATCTTTGAGTTCATCTCATGAAAAATGGGAGCAAAAACAAAAGTGTTGCATTTATATTTTTGTTCAGTGTATAAACACGAGATGACTCACCCGCGCTGCTGGCCATGAGCCATCTAGTGTTTATATATATCTATGGGAGCACTGAGCTGCCATCCCCACCATACGTCATCTCACATAATTCAGAGCTGATTGGCCGTAAGTACGTGTGCCGCGAAAAAAGTGTGGTGTGTGAAGAGGAGACAAGAGACGCGTCCTAAAACCCGGAAGTAAGCTGCGCATGGGTTCCCTCCAAAAAAAAGCAATGGGATTTCTCCATAGGATTTTAGAAAATAGCTCAAAATAAGATCTGTGGGAAACGTACCTGTTAGATAAATGCACGTTTTGTTCAGCCGGATAATATCCACATGTCTACCCTACTTTTATAATTTCGAATCATAAATCTATTGATTCGATTTATGATAGACTGTTGAAACTACAAGAAGATAAGGAGGACTTTTACAAAAAAGTAATAGAGATTTTTGTCCAGAGGGATAGGCAAATGGACTTCATCTTCAAGTCAAGGTAAGACCGCAATTTTATTGAAAATGGGATCTTACTGAGAGAGAACAATTCAATATTGGGGGACATCTTACTTCTTCCTTTTCTCTGTCTATACCTGTGTACTCTCATGTTCCGATTAACCCAGCTTCCCCAAATGTCTTTCTTTTTGGTGTCTATATACGCCGGGATCCGGAGACATGGATGATCCTGCGCTCCTCTGTCCTGGATCGCGAGCCCTGGATCTTGAGTCGTGGCTGTGGTCCTGGATCATAGGTCCTGGATGGATATCCTTGTGGATTCATCTTCCTATTATACACACATGCATTTCCAAACATTTGGACTACCTATGTTGCAAATGAATTATCTTTTCAATTTACACACGGCATCTATTGCACGTCTGTCCGTCCTGGGAGAGGGATCCCTCCTCTGTTGCTCTCCCTGAGGTTTCTCCCATTTTTCCCTTTAAACTGTGGGTTTTCTTCGGAAGTTTTTCCTTGTACGATGTGAGGGTCTAAGGACAGAGGGTGTCGTATTGTCATACTGATATTTTGTACAAACTGTAAAGTCCACTGAGACAAATGTAACATTTGTGATATTGGGCTATATAAATAAACATTGATTGATTGATTGAGTAGGCTATATGTGACAATGTAAGTGTTGCACGGCCAGATACGGCTTGAGAAGCTGACTCAGATAAGGAAATATTGTGATATTATGTGATCGATGATGATCAGTGTGATATGAATGATAACTGCGACACGTCGGCGTCTTCTCTATGGGCTCAGAACAGTCTCATAATACATACATGCACACAGAAGGATTCAAACTTGTATTTCCGGATCCATACTTGTATTTTTCAATGCACACACAAATGTATTCCGTTTCATATACATGTAAATAAAATCCAAATACAGAAAAAAGTTTTACATATGTATTTTTGATCCTCACTTATTAGTTTCCTGTTTAAATCCCCTGAACCTGCAAACACAAACAGCTTTCTGTGCACGGATCGCTTTGCATTCGTGTGTGGGTTTTATGAGACTACCCTGACGGTCAGCCGATTCGTACTTGTAATGTTTTCTATCTATAGCCAATCAGATGTCTCCTTCATTCTAAGCCAATCACATGAGCGCGCCCCCACGAGGGTAAGATTACTTCATATACACATTTTGCGCAGTCCGGTCAGCTCGCTAAACAGAGAGCGGAGCATCAGGTGATCATGCAGAGCAGCGTGTCTCCGTCAGACTCAGCAGCTGATCTGATCTCTCTCTTGCGTCCGGTTATACTTCACTCGCGTTTATGTCCATATCGATCAGATCCAGCTCTCCTGATCGGCCTTTATAGAGAGCACCGATCAAACTATTAAGAGTCAATATCGGCCGATAATGACCGGCGGGGCTCCCCCCCGAGGTCACTGTCTAGCACTGGCTTCGTAGTGCACTGATCGATTAGGCTAAGCTAACCTGTAGCTGCTCCCTCCACACTCACAACAACTTCATACAGACATAAATAAAGCAGCTGTATTCGCCATACAGGAAACACACATTTAAAACGGTTTTGCCTGCCGTTTTTGTGTACACAAGCATTCATCAATGGTTTGGAAAGTGGCGCTGTACCTTAATAATATAAAGGCTTGTATTTGCGTGCATTTCCTGTTCGGAAAGTGGCGCTGTACTGAGAGTGGAGGGTGTCCTGAGATTAGCGCCTGCAGTCAGGCTCCATGGAGCTGTCAGCTCCGGACTGCGCAAAATGCGTACATGAAGCGCTACGTCATGAACGCAAGAAATCTACCCTCGTGGGGGCGCGCTCATGTGATTGGCTTAGAATTGAGGAGACATCTGATTGGCTATAGATAGAAATAATTACAAGTACGAATCGGCTGACCGTCAGGGGAGTCTCAAAAAACCCACACACGAATGCACAGCGATCCGTGCACAGAAAGCGGTTTGTGTTTGCAGGTTCAGAGGTTTTAAACGGAAAACAAATATGTGAGGATCAAAAATACACATGTAAAACTTTTTTCTGTATTTGGATTTTATTTACAGTTATATGAAACGGAATACATTTGTGTGTGCATTGAAAAACACAAGTGTGGATCCGGAAATACAAGTGTGAATCCTTTTGCGGATCATGAAATACAAGTGTGAATCCTTCTGTGTGTATGTGTGTATTATGAGACTGTTCTGAGCCCATACTTCTCTACATACGGCAGTTTAAACTGTATTTCCTTTATCCTGTAATATGACTTGATATATTTAAACTCCGCACACTGAGCTCTGATTGGTCAGCAGGCGGTGCTTTCACTGAGTTGATGTCTTTTCTATAGACGCCGGAGGCGGGCAGCGTCAGGTAAAAAAAAAGTTATTTAGCCTTCCCAAACCTGCCAATATCCTTCTGTTGTGGTATTCACACATAGGAACACAAATCATCAACTGTGGTTTCTGTTTGAATTACATATTTTATCACATTATTTTAGTCATTTACAAATATTTGCTTTTTTAATTATACTTTAAGCAACTTGACTTAAAAAATAATCGACCCTGAATCAAAAAATGTATAAAAGAAGTGGAAGTAGTCTCCATAGAGTCATTAATTCACTATCTTTTTTTAGAACCAGAACAAATAGGGTGGCGAACAGAAAAGTCAATACCTTCTGGAAAGATCTTACTGGTTTTTGGAGGAATTTACTCGAGACAAGATTCAGCACATCACTGCAGAGACAGAGAGACACGAGACGAGAGGGAAGGGACAACACAGGGAGGGAAAGGAAGGAAAGGTAAGAGTGGAGGAGGAATGAGAGGAGGAGGGAGAAAAGAGGAATTCCTGCATGTAGAGACTGGTAGCAGCTGCAGTGCTCTGACAGTTCATAAAGTTGCGCCCGCTGATAACGCGTGTTTGGAGAATGATTTATCAGTAATCAGCATTTGAGCACAAATACCTAACCTTGCCTTGGTGTTAGTGATTTTATTTTATTATCTCAAGACGAAATGCATTAAATTGCTTGGTGTAGAGTGAGCTTTTGTGTACAATATGTAGGTAATACATTTTTGATTTTGCACAAGTAATGTTTTATTATTTTGCAACTAAACAGTTTATTTAATTAGTCACTACATTGGCAGCTTGTATGACTTAAGTGTGTTACACACTTGAGCTGAACATCCTGTGAGTCAAACAGTATTTAGCAATACAGTTCATAAAGAGGCAGATGGGTAGGTCTTAGTGACAAGAAAACGTTATTCAATGAAACATTGATAAAATAAATGTTAACAATAAAGTTACTGTGTGTGTAATGAATAAAATAACACAAACAACTTGCATTAAGCAGCTCGTTCAGAACGAAAATAAGTGGGTGAATAACAAATATAAATAAGCTACTTTTGCTAACCGTTGGTGTTCTCGAAAGAAACGTTTTCACTTAGTGTCCCTAATGAATTACTTGGAAAAAAGCAAAATGGGGCACTGAATTTGACTGAATTACTGTTTAACAGAACAGAAATGAGACATGAGTTAATTAGCTAGCACACTCTAAATACTAGAAAGCATCTTCGGCAGTAGAGAGCAGTCGGCTGCTCCGCCAACGGACCTTCAGTTAGCGGGAATAGCAACTTGAATTTAGCTAGCGAATACAAATGTTTATTGTACCGTTATGAACAACACACATAAACTACACAAATAATAAAACTCCCATAGCTTTTTTGGTTGAAGCTTTTTTGTTCCCCCTTTTTTCTTAAATTAAAAACAATATCCTGTTTTCCTTAGCACTTGAATAAAGACATATTACTTACGGCTTACTGCAGGTGGGAAAGCTTTTTTTATTCAGTACAAAATGTTGTTATAAATAAAATTAGGGATACATTTCTCAGTTAAATATTTATACACTAATATTAACAATATTTCATTATATTTTTAATTGTATCTGTAAAGGGAAACGTGTCCACTTTTGAAGTTACACTTTCTACTAATAACGATGGTTGTACACCTAGCCATTTAGCTAATTGAGATATCAGTGAGTGTTTGCTTTCAATTGGTATGAACATAAAGCAAAACTGTTTCACCATTTTTTGTTTCCTTTTTATTATAATCAGTCTTTTGTTCAGTTAAAACAAACGCTAAACATACGCCAATGTTACCCACTCTAAGACACTGTATTAAATCTGCACTGTCTATGCTTTCTTGCTAAGTGGTCGGACATGACAGCAGGAAGGAGATGAGGGTGTGTTCGTAGGCAAGGGGCGCCGCGGAGGGGCGGAGCGGTTCTCTCTACCGGGCGGTGTCAGCTGAAGAAAACGGGACAGAGGAGCAGAGAGAGGCCAACATAGGGATTCATTTACCCGGGTGATTGTACTGAATTGGACCAGCGGACTTCAGGTAAGAGAGAAGCAGCGTTTAGGGCGTTTTCTCATGACTCAGGGGGAAGTCTTGTGTTAGCTTAACTAACAGAGCAGAACAATGATTTATAACTCACTGCGGCACAGCGTGTCTTCTTTTATTCAGAACATTATATTTGAAAATATTGAATAAAAAGATGCTCACAGTAAAGCAGTATTTGTGAGTTATTTACCATAGGACAAAAGCTAATTTGAACATTCTAAATGCTATTTTCTTCACACACAATAGTTCCATTGAATGCTGAATAAATGTTAGTCTCGTGTGCAAATGCATTTGGGCATGTTTTATTTATTTTCTTATTACCATTTTATGAATGTATATCAATATTTGATTAATACTATTTGGCATATTTAAAATATGCACTAAGATAGTATTTATTATGAAGAAGCTCATGCAGCTAGGCTAATGTGCTTTATTGTGTGTAGACCAAGTGAAAACAAGGATTTACCTGCAGTTAGTGCTTACAGATTATTGTTTAAAATACTACGTGATCACTTAAGTTTGAATATCACGTTTTACGGTTGTTTCCAAACATCTGAAGGTTGCAGTTTCCTAATAGGAAATTAATAACAATGTGTTAGCGGCAGACAGCAGCAGAAATGTGTCTGGATGCATGGAGATATGAACTACACTCTAGACATAGTGTGTGTGTGTGTGTGTGTGTGTGTGTGTGTGTGTGTGTGTGTGTGTGTGTGTGTGTGTGTGTGTGTGTGTGTGTGTGTGTGTGTGTGTGTGTGTGTGTGTGTGTGTGTGTGTGTTTGTGTGTGTCAGGATCCATCAGGATTCCTGTAGGTTAAACACACTTCTTCAGTCATGCATCCTCAGAATCCACATCTGGAGATAATGCAGTGTCATGATTGGCTTTTAACTAGGAATTGATGACTGATTTAGTTTGCAATTTGGTGTACGTTTGATAGGACAGAGAATACTTTATTTGTTAACTTTATTAGCTCCCATTTTCACATCAAGATATCTTTTCAGTATTTCCTAAAGATGCTCATATTATTTTATTGAACACATTTGGCATGATTTTCTGATTAATTTAGGCACAAACCCACCTTTTATACCTCTACTTTAAAAAATGTACCCATAAAACATTGGACAACCCTTAAAACCAATGTCTGTTCTTCCTCAAGTAGGGACATCTGGTGGCAGTAAGAATGTATTTTTTCTGTAATCCAATTATTTAACACTAAAAAAGATCAGATTGTATTAATTGCAAATACACCTAACAATCTTTAAATATGATAAACCTAATTCAGTTAATTGGATTTCGTATGTAGCCTACTGGAAATACATTCAAAAAGCCTCACAATTTGCTCCATTTTGTTTCTTCTCAAAGTTTTGGAAAAGTCATGGAAATGTAACTAAAGTTGCATCAAATATAATTTTTTTATATTGTATCTAATCGCCGAAATAGTAATACTATAATGATAATAAATACTGTATCGTATAGTAATGAAACGTAAAATTGCATTTAACTGACGAGGTATTTTGCTGGTGAGAGATTTTAGTTGCTATAGCTGTAGAAGCTAAGTATGTTTTAGATAGGCACAACATGTTTCATTATGCAGACCTTGTTTTCCTGTTCCATGTTCAAATAAACCATTTTCAGTGGTACTGCCGAGAAAGAGTAATTTTTTTGGTCATGGAAAATGAGGTAAAGGTCATGGAGAAGTCATGGAAAAGTCATTGAAAATCATTAGTGAAAAAGTGTATGAACCCTGTTGTGTAAACAGGAATGTTTTGCATATAAGAGAATACCTTTCCAGTCATTATTCAAAAACCTCTGCAATATAACTGACGTTAAGCCACGTATAATCTGACCACCAGTGTTATATTATAGCATTATAGCCTCAAACAGACAGCGATGTAATTCGAGCATGGCACGTGAGCTTTTTTAGGACACCCAGAGAGGGACCTTGATTGAACTTAAAGTAAAAAGGTGATTTAGAAACTTTCAGAAGCAACAATTTAAGAGGAATTTCTGGCTAATATTGCTTAAAATGTACAGCTGTAAGACTAATACAAGAGAGGAAACAAAACTTTGATCTCTCTTAGTTAGATTTGGATTCATCATCAAATCTTTTAATTGATGGGAAGATATAACTATATTAGATGATCAAGTCTGTTCTATATGATTTTTGACGTTAGATGCCTTCATATTTTCCCATTATATTTTTGGCTTCTTATGCTCGTATTGATTCTCTGTAGAGGTAATTCATCAAGTTGCCATCTAGTCTATTCTCAGGCAGTTACAGGGCTCTGTTCTCTGCAGCAGAAAGCTCTCCCTCTGATTGAATCATACACAGACGAATCTCACTTGGCTGATATTTTCTATAACATTACATGATGTACTGTGTGATACATTTAGCTGCCATGCTACTTTAGAGCCTCATTTTTGTATTCAAAAAACGTCATCCTAGCCTAAGATCTAATTGTATTGATCTGTTTCTAAAGGGTTTTGCATGCTAACATGTATATATTCAGCTAATTAAATTCATTAGCATATTTGGGAATATTTAAGGGTCAGTTATCTACAGAACACTTCCAATAATCTTTAATGAGATAGAAATGAGGTGAACCAAAGTACAGACAGAGATAGGCAGTTGGTGTTAATACTTTGGCAGAAACTGTTCCCAGTGAGGTCTGTGGATTACCTGACTACCGAGATCTTTTTCTAGAAAACACACATTGCTCTTGATGTTTTCCCCAGCCAGGGGTAGTGGTACCCCAGGCGGTCTTCTGCAGTTTCCTGGGGGTACAATGGCATTTGGGAGTATCTCATACACATTTTAACCATACAAATAAATAGTAAGTGTCTGTACGATTGGTAACTGAGCAGAATAGTTGAAAACATAAGCAAATAACAATGAAATGGTTCTATTAGCTAAAAAAAGAATAGAAAATTAGTTAAATAATCCAATCGCTATAAAGAAACAGCTAGCTATATGCTAATGTATAACATGTATAAAACTAACTGCTAAATGACCAATATAGATAAAAGCAATGAATAATTACATTTTATAATTAGATAGCTAAAAAGAAACAAGTGTCTAGATGGCAGAAATTGATATTTAGAGGTAATGGCTCAATGGCTAAAATAGTTATTTTGGTAATGGCTAAATGGTTTAAATTACAAATGTTGAATAAATGGTTTACTAATAAGATAGATAAAAACAGCTAGCCTAGATAGCAGAAATCCTTTTCCAAGATCAATCAAAAATGTAATGGTTTGGTTGGTAATATCTAAATACTGATACTGGTATACTGCTGTTACCTCATATGTAAGTAGCCATCTACATAAGCTAAATTACAAACTTCTTCACCCTCCATTGCAGACTAATATAACCCTGAAGCCATCTACATACATCGATAAGTACTTATAAGGGTCTCTAAGCTGATGTAACCGTTTTGCTAAATGTCTTTTTTTGTTTAATAGATCAAACTTCCATTTATTTTGCGTAAGTAAAAATAGCTATACTTCAGGCTGATTAAAGCATGTAATGGTAAATAGATTAATAACAAAATCTGCTTTAATATGTGTGTTATGTTTAATGAGTTCAAATTGTAATGAGTTCCAAATGTATTACAGAACATAACTTCAGCTGCCGTGTCGTTTTATAGGTGTCAGCATGTCAGGAAACGTCAGCGCTGAGGAGATGGAGGAGATCAAGGAGGGCTTCCAGAAAGTGGGTGAGTAAAAATGTGTGTGGGTAAATTGTAGACACCCAGTACATAAAGATGAATTGGTCAGTAATGTTTGAAGTGGAGTAAAGCACCTGACAAACACATGTTCATATACATTGTTGGTGCTCCATCTGATGGACAGATGTTTGTCATGGGAGAAGAAAGAAATGAAACCTTTGATACCCTACATTTAAGTTATGGCTTAATATAATAGTTTGATATTTTGGTAATAGTATGTTTTGGAGTTTTCTTGCTGAGAATTAGATTAGAAGATTAATACAACTCGTGTATTTGTTTATGCTAAAATTAGTAATCAACTTAGCTTAGCATAACACTGGACACAGCTAGCTTGGCTTTGTTCTAGGTACAGTTTAACAAGTGATATAACATTTGCTAACCTATGAGTTTAAAGGGTGCTGGTAAGCTAATTAGGTTTCCTTAGACAGAATCAATTACAGTCTTTATGTTAAGCTAAGTTAACTGTCTGCTGCATTTAGCCTCCTATTTAAAGGTCCCATGTCATGGCCATTTCTACTGATCATAATTCCATTGTTGAGGTCTACTAGAATAGATTTATATTGTGCAATTTTCCAAACTCACATTGGTTTCTCATACAGCATCTCTGTAAAGTATGTGTATTCACCGGTATTCACTCTGTCCTAAACGGCTTGTTGGAGCTCGCGACCCCTCCCTGTAAGCCCAGTGTGCTCTGATTGGTCAAGCGACGTGCAGCTGCTGTGAGGAGCAGACAGGGCTTCCGTGTCGGCGAAACAAATACAGCGAGAACAAGCGAAACTCATCCTGAGCACACACAAACACTCACAGCCGAAGTAAAAACAATAAGTGTGGCTTGATATTGAGTAAGAAAAAGGTTTATAACGCTGAGAATGGGTCTGCGGAGAGCATTTCTCCTTACATGCATAAAAACCTTCATAACACACAAGGGGACGGGTAATAACCGGAAAAGCATGACATGGGACCTTTAAAGGTAGGGTAGGGTTCAGAAACACTTTTTGTTATATTCCATGGAATGCTCTTAACATCTCGATAGCAATGAATAAATTAAATGCTTTGACAATAAATATATACAAATATTTCATCTGTGGAAGCCGTGGCGCTGTAAAAAGCAAGTCCAATTATCTGAGCCGGCCCTGCTAAAATAACTGGATGGCCTACCTGCCTGTCAGACTCCATCTCGTGCACAAACTTATCTCGTGCCCTCATTGGTCATGTGCGCGTTTGTGTGTGTTGGAGGAGGGGCTCTGTAAGGAAGTCTGAAGGAAGGGGCAGATTTTTTTCGGTTGTGTACTTTCAAATTCTAGCTTACTCGAGCTGGTTTCTCCATTCTTACCTACCCTACCTTTAAGTCTTTATGTGTCGAGTAGTAGTTATTTTAAGCTAACTAGTCAGTAAACTGGGTATTTGTGTGTAAAGTATTTGCCATACGGAAGCCCTGAGAGGCAAATAGCAAAAATGTTTCTGGTGATTCTTTTTTTTTAAAGTCTGATCTCAATTGATTTCTCTCCTGTGTTTATGACTCAAGTATAAAAACTAGGCTGAACCACTACCTAGTATTTGACTAAAAGCGTTCATGTTTTGTAAGTTGGCAAGTTATGTTACATTTCTGTCATTTCTATTGGCTAAACATGTATTTTCATCCTATTAATACATATTTGCCTTGTTCCTTCATAGCTACCTATTTCATCGATAAAAAAAAAAAGGAAAACTTTTTCCTTTTTTTTTTTTAGGTAGCTAATTAATAGGATGAAAATGTTCTAAGTTTGATGTAAATTTGATGTAAATTGTTTGATGTAAAGCTAATTATTAGGATGAAAATGTTCTAAGTTTGATATAAATTGTTTCCTCTCAAACAATTTACATCAAACTTAGAAAACGGATTACCATGATTATTTTTTTTGTCATTCGCCTCTAAGGCTTCTGTAAATCCTCTTCTGTAAACAAGAGTGAACACATGTCAATTTGAACAGAAGAAAGGCAAACATGCAATCCAGTCCAGTCATTGTGTTTAGATTAGCAAATGTAGAAATGTTCAATACAAAACAGATACTATATCCTGATGGGCTCCAACAAAAATATCACAATTTTCCCTTCCTTCTAGATGTGGATGGTAATGGGTACATCTGCGCCTCCGAGCTTGGGGAACTCTTCCGGGAGGTGGGCAGCTCTCTGCCTGGATACCAGATCAGAGAACTGCTTCAGAAGCTCGACCGAGACAACGACAGCCGCATCAACCTCGAAGAGTTCACGGCTGTAGGTAACACTAACTATCTAACTAACTGACCGACCGACCGAACGAACAAACGAACAAACGACCAACCAACTGATTAACTAATAAATAAAGGTTTGACTGAATAAAGTCAATTCTTGATGGCTGTTAGGTGAATAAAAAAAAGCTAGCTTGGGGGATAGGGTCAATATTTTCCTAAAAAACTAGAAATGTCCAAGATTAAAGTTATACATTTATGATAATAAAGCTTGGATTTTCTCTGAAATAAAAATGATACATTTGCGAGAAATACCTCACAAATACACAAGGCATAAACTCAGACATTCTCTGAGATTAAATTGAATACATATTGAAAAGATAGCTAAAAACAGCTGCTAGATGGCTGAAAAAACATTCGTAAACACAATTAAAATGTATTAATATAATGCAAAACATTTTTAAATTGTTATCTTAAACTTAAAGGGGACCTATCATGCAAAATGCACTTTTTGATGTCTTTTATACATAAATATGTGTCCCCAGTGTGTCAGGGAACTCACGCAGCGTCAGAAAATAAAACCCTCTCTTTTTTCCTCCATACCCAAATCCCTAAAAAGGGGGTACAACGGAGCTGATCCAGATTTGCGTCCGATTTTCAAACCTTTATTTAATCAGATTGGTCCCTTGGGATCATAGATCTCTTTTTCAAGGGAGACCTGCAGCATATAGGTTCCACATGAAACATAAAACAATAAAGGACATCATACATTATATTTACAGGATACATTTACATAGTTATAGACATTTACAAGTGCCCATAGTATCAACGAGCATTTCATTTAGCCTAGCTTTAAAAACATGCAGAGGAATGAGATTGCTCAGTTTCAATTCTTGCTGAAGATTGTTCCAAGCAAGTGGAGCTGCGCACATAAAAGCTGTCTTACCTAAGACAGTCCTTGCTCTTGGCACATCTAACAATACTACATCATGCGATCTCAGACAATAGCTGCTTGCAACTCTCTGTGTTATCAGAGAGCAGATATAATACGGGAGTTTACCAAACAAAGCTTTATAAATAAATGTGTACCAATGACTGAGCCTCTTTACAGTAAGTGATGGCAAACCTGCCTTGGTATACAGAGTATAGTGATGTGTAAGTGCTTTACAATTTGTGACAAATCTCAGTGCGCTGTGATAGGCGGCATCTAACTTGTTCAGGCAATAGGCAGGTGCATTCATATACAATAAATCACCAGAGTCCAGCACAGGTAAAAAGGTCACAGTGACTAGCCTTTTCCTGGCTTCAAATGAGAAACAGGACTTATTTCTGAAAAATAAACCTAGTCCAACCCTCAGCTTTTTAAGCAGGTTATTGACATGAAGTTTAAAAGTAAGACAATCATCAAGCCAGATACCAAGGTATTTGTAACAGGTAACCACTTCAAGTACTTGTCCTTGCATAGTAACAATATCTAAAACAGGCTCTGGTGTCTTTTTAGCTTTTGAAAAGAGCATTACCTTGGTTTTCTCAACATTTAAAAGAAGGTTTAGTTCAGAGAGCTGAGTCTGAATAATGTTAAAAACAGCCTGTAATTTAATACCAGCCTCCTGAATGGAGGGACCTGCACAGTACATCACGGTATCATCAGCATACAAATGTAAAGTAGCTTCATCCACATTTTCACCTAAACTGTTGATATATATGGAGAATAAAAGTGGACCTAAAACAGAACCTTGAGGAACACCATTAGCAATGTTTAACCACTCAGAAGACAGCCCATCAAAGTGAACACATTGGGACCTTTCAGAGAGGTAGTTCACAAACCACCCTACTGCATGGCTGGATATGCCAATACTGAGTAGCCTCTGCTTTAAGATGCGATGATCGACGGTATCAAACGCTTTGGACAAGTCAACAAATAGAGCTGCACAACTCTGCTTATTATCTAAAATACTCGTAATGTCATTCACCACTTTCATTGTGGCAGTGATGGTGCTGTGTTGCTTTCTGAAGCCTGACTGATGTTTAGACAGGATATTATTTTTACATAAAAACTCCTTTACCTGTTCACTCACTAGGCGTTCGAGCACCTTCGCCAGAACTGACAATTTAGAGATTGGCCTATAGTTATTTAAAATAGTTGCCTCCCCTCCTTTTAGTAAAGGCAAGACATAAGCTGACTTCCATCTTTTTGGAATTGTGTTTGTGCTGAGGGAGAGGTTAAAAAGAGTAGTGAGAGGAAGAGCAATACAATCTGCAGCTATCTTTAAAAAGAAAGGTTCTACGTTGTCCGGGCCAGCCGGTTTCTTAGGATCTAACTTGGTTAAGGCTTCATGAACAACATTAACAGTAAAAGGAGTAAAACTGAAAGGGTTTTCCAGACCACATTGTTCAGAGTCACGGATTGGGGTGTTCACAGAAGCAGAGTTAGTCACAGAATTAAACAGAGAACCACAGGACACAAAATGTTTATTAAAGCAATTTAACATGGTGGCCCTGTCCGATATAGAGCCAGATGCTGTGGTAAGGCACGGAGGTAGCTCATTACGGATCTCACCGGTGGATATTGATTTTATGGCTTTCCAAAATTTCCTAGGATTATTTAGGTTTTCTGTGGTAACTGACAAATAGTACTTCGACTTTGCACTTTTGATATGTGAAGTGAAGCTATTTCTTAGCTGCCTAAAACGCAGCCATTCTACCTCTGAGCCTGATTTCCTAGCCTTTGCCCAGGCCTTGTTTCTCTCATGAAGGAGACTAGACAGTTCAGCAGAAAACCAAGGATTGTCTCGTCCCTTTACTCTAAATGTACGCAGGGGTGCATGTCTATCAATGATCTCCATAAAACCAAGATAAAAATAAGACCATGCAGTTTCTACATCAGCACACAGATCGATTTTCCCCCAATCAAACCCAAACAGATCATGAACAAAACCCTGCTCCACAAAATGTTTTATGTCTCTCTTAATAATAATAATAATACGAGGTTTAACCTTTTGGACCTTAGTGTCCCTAATTGTGGCTACAGCACAGTGGTCACTCACATCATTCGCAAATACTCCCACAGATGAGTAAATTTTATAGGGAACATTAGTTAAAATGAGATCAATTAGGGAGGATTTATTAGGGGACTTAATGTTAGGGCGAGTAGGACTGTCCACAATCTGAGTAACATTTAAAGAGATACAAAGGTTTTTAAAATTCTCTGATACTGTAGTTAACCAGTCCCAGTTAAAATCTCCAAGTAGCACTATTTCCTTGTAGTCTAGCTGCGATAAAAGATTTGCTAGCGAAGACAAGGAGTCCTTGACAGCTGAGGGGGTTCTGTAACAGCCCACCACCATGACCTGTTGCCCCTTTGCCACTTCTATATTTAAGGCTACAAATTTGAATTGCTTACTGATAGATTTGGAAACTAATGTATTAAAGCTACACTGAACTTATTCTTAACATAAATGGCAACGCCACCATTTACCGGCCACCTTTATTAGGCCGGTCGGAACGATACACATTATAACTATAAGGGAAACTTCTGTGCAGCAGCAATGCAGTGGGAGTCACCGACTCAGGAAAGAGACACGGGAAGAGCAGGAGCTTTGATGTCAAACACTGATGGTTTATTTGGAGTTTCGGCCGGAGAATTCACATCACAAGTCACAGCAGCCACGATCTGACTGCACGGTAGAGTTGCCACGTCAATTCTGAAGAACTCTACCCCAGACCCATGTATTTAGCTAGTTCCGAGAGCATCATCAACATGCTGCATAACAAGATAAAATCATAACACCTCTATCAGCTGACGTCAACAGGCAGGAACATAGAATCATAACACCTCTATCAGCTGACGCCAACAGGCAGGAACAGGGAGACAGAACACTGAGAGCACAGCAGCCAAGGTTATGAGGTGCGTGTGCTCAGTCAGGACAGTTTGAACTGATAAACTGGGTCAAAGTTATGGGCCTTGGAAAATATAATCCAACAATAACCATTTAAGGCAATGTCAGAGGCCAAAATAGATTTATTTAGCCATGTTTCTGATAAAACAATGGCGTCAGCGTCAGTCGAGCTTGCCCAAATGCGGACAAAATCTAGTTTACCTAACAGACTGCGCACATTCAAGTGGATGAAACCCAACCCAGACCTAGCTTTAAAATCAGCAGGAGTAGCGATCTGACTACTACTGGGCGGACCAGGGTTAGGTTGTATATTTCCTGACAGTAATAGCAACAAAATAAACAGGCATCTTTTCCTCTTAATCGACACACATACATTGTCATCTACTTTAGAAACACCGGAAAAGTCAGCGAGAGTGTGATTTGAGCTTAAGAAGCAGTCCTGAAGAACCATCATCGCAGGAAAACAAAAAAGACAAACATATTTTGTCGATCAGATTGTCTGTGACAAGGCAACCGGTAATTGTTTCTGCAACACATCCGAACCTTTGCAGGGGATGCCCACTGCGGGTGGCAGAACAGACCTGAATCCAGTAGACTTCTCAGAATGACTAGAGATCTTCTCATAGTCCAAAACAGTTAACAGGCACAGCAGAATCCCGATATGGGCCATTTTCCCAGACCAGCACACAGTATCCGCGATGTTCCTGGAGCAAAATCAGCACAGCAGCAAAGGACAGGCGAAAGCAGCAGCGTGGAAGCGCTCCGGTCCCTCCGTGGTATCCCCGGGGTGAAAGCAGGCCTCTGCAACAGCAGAACCAGGACAGGTGGAAAGCAGGCCCCAGCCATGGTAAAATCCTCCTCCACAAAGCAGCACACGCCCGGTGGAAGCAGGCCAAGCCCGAAAACGTGGATCCACTCTGTCTCTCCGCGACGACTCCGGGGTAAAAACCTCTCCAATACAGCCGTATTCTACAGGTGGGAGCAGGCCTCCGTAGATTGCAGATCGCAGATCGCAGGCAGCAACAGGAGGAGCCGCTCTGTCTCTTCGCGACGAGCAGGCCTCCGTAGATCGCAGATCGCAGGCAGCAACAGGTGGAGCCGCTCCGTCTCTTCGAGACGTCTCCGGGGGAAAAATACCTCAGCACAG